CTAGCCCAAGATTTTTTTACAAGTCGATCAAATGGTCACAGTTTAAAATTGCTCAGTGACAAATTAAAAACATTGCGACTGATACTTCAACTTTTGATGATTAATTTATCAGTATAGTTCTGAAAACAGATGTCAGCGGTGTAATATCTTTAAATGAAATTGCAGTTTTATGCTTTTTTTAGTCTCTGCATGACTCTTTGAGTTTTGTATTTTCGCTTTAATTTCACACTTGCAGTACTTACAACAAGCTTTGGTCATATCCCCAGTTTTTAATTTTATCATCACGCAACCACTTTTTTCAAAATTTTTTGCTCATACTTTACTTTTGGCATGTTGAAAGGTTTTTTTTTTAAAGTAAAAGCCACATAAGAAGGTGAGCATTTTTTTTAATCACATGAAAAAGAAACGCACAGTGCAGTGAGGATACCGTTGAAACAAAGTTAGTATGATTTACGCGCGTTTTTGTTAATCAGTACCAGGGCTGCCAGATATTTATGCGTTTACCCCAGTGAGAGTTCAAAGTTCAAGTAATGGCAGTTGTCACAATGTACGTGCCAGACCAAAACAAAAAATATTGTAGTAAATATTTTACACAGTAATTATTAAATTGACAATGAAAGAAAAAAAATCTATAAAATATCTAACTCCATATGAAAAGTATCTAGAGAAATATTTACGATCTAAACGTCAAAAACAATATCTAAATGCAATAAAAAAGATCTAAATTTGGATATAAAAGATCCAAAGTGGCAACACTGGTCGGTTCCGTACAATTTTGTCAGCGACTTGTACAAGATCGCCAGAGTTTTTAGCTTGTGAACACGAAGAAGAAAGAGAAGAATAACTGTTAGGTCTCTGCTATGTGGTTTTATAGAAAATCCTTAGAATTTTTTGGACAGCCAAAAATAGCAACCCAGATGTTTCGAAAAAAAAAAAAAAAAAAAAAAAGACAATTTAACGCAAACATCACAGAGACAGTCGTCATTTTTAGTCATTTTGTGACAAGAAGGAAGCTGGAATCTGCTGTGATCAGGGGGAAGATATGTGGAAAAGAGAAAGACGATTTTTGACAGCTTTTTTGTTCTGGCATTAAGGAATGTCAACACGCGAACTGATACATGCTCTTGAAGATTGCCGATTGTGGAGAGGAATGATCTCTTCCGCCAGCCGGCACGGCACTTGAAGATGATGATGATGATGATATCGTACATCACGTCGGACTCGAGCTCTTAATAGCTGAAGTCGGACGGCGTGTACATAAACTTCCCATCCCCAAAATTGGCCTGCAGGTTAAGTTGTAACTGTGGAAGTGTCCTAACATAGCGGCTTTATGGGTATGAACAGGTTTTCTAGGGTATGCACCTGTTGGATTCTTCTTCTTCTTCTTCTGCTTCTTCTTCTTCTTCTTCTTCTTCTTCTTCTTCTTCTTCTTCTTCTTCTTCTTCTTCTTCTTCTTCTTCTTCTTCTTCTTCTTCTTCTTCTTCTTCTTCTTCTTCTTTTTCTTCTTCTTCTTCTTCTTCTTCTTCTTCTTCTTCTTCTTCTTCTTCTTCTTCTTCTTCTTCTTCTTCTTCTTCTTCTTCTTCTTCTTCTTCTTCTTCTTCTTCTTCTTCTTCTTCTTCTTCTTCTTCTTCTTCTTCTTCCACCTTGTACCTCATCGAAGTGTCGGAAAAGGGGGGGGGGGGGGTGTAATGTTCGTTGATGAGCTCTGTCAAGAGCACTATTAGGACTGATGTTCATTTCTGTAAGGCTGTTTTTAATGCCATCACTCCATGTTTTCCGAGGTCTTCCACTCGCTCTATAACCGTTGTAACGTTTTAGTGTGGCTCGCTGTGGCAGATAACACCAGGGCATGTTGGATTCAAAACCTTGAAATATTAATCCTACTGGCAGCAGTCCAGAGGAATGCACAAAATGATTGGCAAAACATAAAACAGAAGGCTGAGGACAGATTTAATTATCAACGTAGCGCGGCTTAGGCTTTTTTTTTTTTTTTATATCTAGAAGCTATGAGTTGTCAACTCTTTGGTTCTGTGCTGTGGATATCGCAACCCTTCGGTCTTGATTCCATGATAAGAGAAAATTGAAAAGAGAAATTGGCTTTTCTACCTTCCCGCAGGTGTGAACCCGGACCACAAGGAGTTCGTCACCTGGTCGCCGCGCGGCAGGTTTAACAAACTGAGCTAATGAGTCTGGCAAAGACATGCTGCTCAAACTTTGCGAATAATGGAGGCTAAAGACAGTATAGGCTACTGTGGCGGGGTTTCTTTGTAAGGTGGTTTGAGGTTTTAATCAACGGATCAACAACATGACACACGGGTAGTAATCCATAAGTGCTCCGTTTTTCTTCTAACTCAAGTCTGAGTCCGAAGAAGCATAGCACAGTGCACAGGCTCTGTAGCACCGGTGAGGATCCGGAAATACTTTGAGTAGATTTTCAACTCCAAAGTTTGCTCGGCCAGCGCCGTTAGGTTACTCTTTTCAATTTCCAACTGCCAAGGGATTTATTTACGTGCTCTACAATGCACACGGGCGTCCGATCTCACTACCCAGAGACCAGGGGGAAATTACTAGAAGTCCAAGTCTACGTAAAAAGATCCCAGCCCTTACCGGGTATTGAACCCAGAACCTCTAGCACTCGAGGCGGACACCATGCATCGAGACCATGCAGCTTAGTTGGAGCAAAAACTAGACCAGGAGCAGACTGCTTTAGTAATCATGCTCCAGTTAGAGGAAAGAGTCGAATAAAACTAAAGAATATTTAGAAAACACCATAGAACATCACGTTAAATTTAGGAATACTTAGAACGCATACAGATATTAAGGAACAGTACAATATCATTGTACAAAACCGGTATAATGCAATGAAAATTATACAGACTATTGATATACAGTGGGATATGTTGCGTGAGTCAATTCAGCAGACATCAAATGAGACAACCCCACCAACCCATAGAGTTGCAAAAAAGAAATGGATGTCAACCGAAATTCTACAGTTGATGGATGAAAGAAGGGAGAAAAAGAATAATAAAGTAGAATACCCCTAAAAAAAAAAGGTGAGCAAATGCAAAGCGGCTAAAGAAACCTGGTTGAATCAAATGTGTACAGAGGTTGGGGAAAATTACGGGAAAGACATTCCATGTAGTAACAGATAAATATGTTAACAGGAAAGATGACACGTAACAGCACTGTATGTTTAAAATCGAAAGATGGCGACTGTATAATGGTGCATAGTAATATAATTAACAGATGGACAGAGTATATACGGGATTTGTATAATGATAATAGATTAAATCTTTCGGTCATATTTTGAGAAGAGGGAAAATGGAACATGTTGTGACCACTGGAAAGATCTGTAGAAGGAGGGATAGAGGAAGATAAAAAGAGAAGATTCTTGACAATCTTGTTGCATGGCATAAAAGTGTGTCAGTGTAACAGGCAGACGTCATTACTGGTTTGTTAGTAGGTAGTATATAGGGCGCAGAGCCGGTATGTACCGAGATCAAGTTTTGGTAACCTTCTTTTCCCGCCAAAACTAAATATTGACGTCATCACTTGTTTGTCAGGAGGTAGATTTTGCGTATTAGTTGATGGAACGAAAATCAACAGCTCTTATCAACACTATTTTGTAAATAGTATTTGACGTCATTGTTGATGTGCCCTTTCAGAGAGAAGTAGTAGTAATTGTTTTTAAGAGTCCTAATGACGTCAATTTAACTTCTATATTTGCGCAGAATAGGATGATGAAATCTGATACAATCGAGATATTATTAGAAAATCCCACATGAGAACGCACATAGTAAACGCGTTGAGACATACTAGCATTCCAGCATCTAAGTATAAATAATGAGCGAGAAACCACTAGGGTAATTCTTCAGTCCACAAGACTCAAGAGAGGAGGGACCAGTCATATGAATCCTCAAAGAAAGCCTCCAGTCTACAAGACTTAAAGACGAGGGGCTAGTAACATTGACTCTCATAGAGCAATCACAGTTGTAGAGATGTTAACTCAACACTAGAAGCAGAGGAGTCAGTCACATTGAGCCTCGAAGACAGTCACTAGAGAGCAGATGTAAACGAGACAACGAACTACAGAGACGACATAAAAGATACCTGGATCCATGGTTAACAGAGACACATTAGATAGCAACATTATTCAGATGTTTGAGTCGACAATCCGGCCGTTAGTACCAGACAGCTCTAGAAGCCAGGTGATAGTTAGAGACACTAGAACCAAAGTAACTAGAGATGAAGAACACAACGCGACATCAAGATTATGTAGCCATAGGGAGAACACAGCGCCTTTTAGTTAGAATATCATTGATGTTATTTGTGATATTGTTGAAGTATCACAATAAAGACATTACAGACAAGAATAGTTGTTTCCAGACATTTTATTATACAAGCATCAGAGTCACTTGAGAAGCATGCAGATAGTAAGATATCACCACGACCTTCTCTATTTATATATAAAGAAGGACCTGGATTTCACCATCATCAGCACCCCTATCGACACGGCCATATTTCTCCTCGTCTATAATCTTCAAAATCGACTAAAAACGAACCTGGGTGTGACATCGACGTACGCAACGAAGAACACAGCTGTGCTACATCAGCACACGAACTGATAATGCTGCAGAAGATCGCGGATTGTGAAGAGACGCGATCGCCCACGCCGGGCGGCAAGGTACCTGATGATGATGAATATCATTTTATGATGTTGATTGTTAGCCCTTCATTATAATCACTTTTTACCAGAAGTTACATTAAAATTTTTTTTTTACAGTAGTGAAGTAAAGCGATTATAATCACTGTATTAAAAAGGAAATATCCAAACATATTTTATAACAATATTTTGTATGATAAAAGTTACTATTTAAGTCGTCTATTTCCCGGTAACAGATATGGTTGACACCCGGACCTCTGATTATTTCCCTTTGGTTGTACTGTAAACTGAACAGAGGGCGCTGCAAGTGACGTCAGGAGAATCGTCCTCGTGCAAGATGGCTGATAACAAATTATACGAACTTCTGGGTGTCGGTAGAAATGCCACAGAGACCGACCTCAAGAAGGTATGTCTTCATTGATTAGCGAATTCGGAAGAGTATTCATGAACTTGTGTTTTCGGAGTCGTCAGTAATTTAAATTTGAGCGTTGTTATAGTTATTTACAATAAAGGCGTTAGGGCGTTCACGCAGTGAAATCTTTGATTTCTTACTGTATGTAACTAAATGAAGAATGATTCGTCACTTTTTCGTTTGGGTCACTTTGAAAGTGGAAAAATTTATAAATTTGGCTGTCTAACGTTTTTTTTTTTTTTTTAAGATTGTTTTGGTTAAGACATTAGACAAAATAGTATGTTAAATGTGGCAGTCAACAAATGAAATATATTGTCATTTATTTTCAAGTGATTGAGATTGAATTGTGCGCAAATGTTATTTTATTATGTTATATATATTATTATATTTTCTAATTTTGTGTCACATTGGCCTTGGTTTCATTCACCATTCAATGGTCACCACATTAAATTGTTTGAAATTAGTGTAATCTGTAGAGCTGGTACGATGTAGTCACTAGAATCTAACCAGAAGTATCATAATAGGATAGTAGTTTTGCCATTTTCTTTTTTTTGTTTACAAGGACAAAGACGACACATAAAACTACTGAACAGAAAAAACAGGATGTGTGATTTTATATTATGAATGGGTGTCTTTTTGTCTTAACTTTAAACAAAGGAGACAGTATAAATAATAATTACATAAATTCACATTTTTGTAATTTTAAAACTGTAGGCGATCATTATTTATGAAGCAGAATTTGAATAATGTAATTTCAAAGCACATGAGGTAAATTTATTTTATGACTAGAGAAAAATCATGATTAAAACTTTCTGTCACATTATAATTAATGTGAAATAAAGTTGTATATTAACAGTAACTGAGTTAGTGTTAGGTTAGAATACAGGTAATTATTAGTGTATTTTGATAGTCTTGAATATTTATGGAAACAACACTTAAAGATGACAATTAGAGCTAAAAAAACCAAGGCACTGTTAGCAGTTACTTCGCATACACATACAGCTGGCTATCCTCTGAATAACGGTCCTAAATTACCGAGGCTGAAAATATACCCTAACAGGGCCTCAGTCACGTGTCAGTTGCGGACTTCTGGGGAGTATACCGCCACCGCCGAATTGTGGACTTCCAGGGACTATACCGCTACCACCGAAAGTATCCCCCACGTCGCTCACACAGTGTGGATTGGGGCTAAACTAGATGGCTGGGACTCAAAAGTAAATAAAATGAAGGAAGCTGCAGGAGATGCGGTAGCTGCTGCTCGTGAGTCCCAGCCATCTAGTTTAGCCCCAATCCACGAGGCGTGGGAGATACTCTAGATGGTGGCACGCAATTGATACGTGACTTGAGGAGGTCCTGTTAGGGTATATTTTTCACCTCAATAATTTGGGACCGTTATTCGGAGGATAGCCCATACAGCTAATTTAAGTTTACAAAATTTCGGCTCTACTGGCAAATTAGGCAGGTAAGCTGGACTGCTTCGACCCGCTTAGCAGGGCTTAGTGGGAGTTATGTCCCTTCGCCAAACTCAAAACTAGTCGCGGAAAGTCACAAATCAAATGACATACTTACCTATCATCATCCGGGTGCATGTAGGGTTGCGTCTATGGTTACCTATCATCATACGGTTGCGTGTAGGGCTGCGTAGGGTGTCTATCATCATCATACGGTTGCGTGTAGGGTGTCTATCATCATCATCATACGGTTGCGTAGGGTTTGGGTTAGCCGTAGGGTTAGGGGTGTGGGTTAGGGGGTAGGGTTAGGGGTAGGGTTAGATGATGTGAAAATATTCATGTAGGAGGTGGAAATACTGGCCGACAATCTGATGCCTGTGGGAGTGGCGCCACTGGAAGTGTGCCAAATATGACAGCAATAGCGCGCGGCTGGTGCCCATTCGGTGGCGAATTGTCCGTGTCAGTAGCATCCACCGTCCTTCGACTGTTTGTGCGTGCATGCGACTGCGCGATTGTAGGGAACTACGGCGTCAACAATTGTCACATTTAACGCTACACCTAACCCCTAAACGCTAATCCTAACCCTACCCCTCATCTATCTTACGCAAACAACCAACCCTACACGCAATAAGCAGTCCTACACGCAACCGTAGGACGATGATAGACACCCTACGCAACCCTGCACGCACCCGGATGATGATAGGTAAGTATGTCGTTTGATTCATGACTTTTTCCGCGACTTGTTTTGGCCAAGGGACATAACTCCCACTAAGCCGGCCGAAGCAGTCCAGCTTACCGGCCAAAATTTCTTTTATAAGGGGTTTACAAATAGTTGTTCCATCTACCACAGAAAATGGTCTGTCTTCTTCACGTTCACTAGCTGTGAACTCTGGCGGAAAGTTCTGTTGTTCGTCCACTTCTGGGCTGTAGTCCTGTTCCGGAACTTAAGTGTTGCATCTGCATTTGTTTGACAGATCTGACTAATTTGTATGCAGACTGTTGGTTTCTTGCCTCTCAGGCAGATGCACTCTGACTTTGAAGGAAGCTCCCAATTAGTCAACTCTTATGACATGCTTTTGGGTAGGCAGTAGGTTTATTATTCTTGTTTTCCCTATAACAGGGCCCCGGAGTCCATACAGGGGACGAAAATGTCTGAAAGTATAGAATTCTGCTGTTTCAACAGCACTCTGGTTGAACACTCTTCATTCTTCTGCTCTCATATCTTCTTTCTCACATGCTGGTTCCTGGGCCCCATGGTGGGGAAAGCAAAAATAGACCCAATACCCACTGCCTACCCAAAAGAGTCAGCTAATCGGGAGCTTCTTTCGAAACTGGAGTGCATGAGCCTGAGAGGCAAGGAACCACCAGTTGGCATACAAATGAGTCAGATCTGTGAAATGATGTGCACAGGACACTCAAATTCTGTAACAGAACTAGAGTCTAGAAATGGATGGATAATCAGAACTTCTGCCAGAGTTTATACGTGGTGAACACAGAGAAAGAGAAGTCTCCTTTATTAACACATCCACACCTAATTCCAATTTCACACATTGTTTCTTCTTTCTTCTTTGCGTTCACCAGCTGTAAACTCTGGTGGAAAGTTCTGGTTGTTCGTCAACTTCTGGACTGCAGTCCTGTTTCAGAATCTGAGTGTTGCGTATGCATCCGTTTTACAGATCTTGACACATTTGTGCCCAGACTGTTGGTTCCTTGCCTCTCAGGCAGATGCACTCTGACTTTAAAGGAAGCTCCCAGTTAGTCGACTCTTACAACATGCTTTTGGGTAAGCAGTGGGTCTATAATTCTTGTTTTCCCTATAATAGGGCCCCGGAACCCACACGGGGGACACATTGTTTCATCGAACATTGTTACAATTATTGTATCTTCCAGCGGCTTTTGTTGTTCATAAATGGAAATCATGATGTCTCCCTCATCCAGCATGTGTTCCTATATCTATAGTGGTTACTTATTTCAGTTTTGTGAAATCACTTTGCCTTTTATTCCCCTTTGGGTAATAGGCATTAAGCAAATGTCCACTAAGCTTGGCATGTTGTGTTGTTGTTTAGAGCTAGGGTGCGATATTAAAACATCTGATTATAGCAGACCCCTTATTATTTGCCTTCTAACAACATTCCTGTTTGCTATGCTGTGGGTCTGTTCTATGTATTTCCCTAAAATACAGTTTACTGAACTCACACAGAAAACCTCTGTATTATCTGCCTCTGAAGGGGGGGGGGGGAGGCAACTATCACTTGAAACAAAGATGTCACTAGAGTACGTAGGTGCTTTGCTGGAAAGAAAAAAAAATCGTCACATTTAGCCAGCATCCTTGAGGGGGGAGCTTTAGGTTATAACTGTGACTAAGTTATGTGCGCCGTAATGAACTCCAGCAGTGTTGATGCAATCAAAGACAAACCCAAATTCTGCCCTGACTGGCGACAAAGTTGTCTTGCGGCGAGCCAATGGACAACCCTGTTGTTGATCATTAAATGTGTCACTAAAGTAACTAACTACATAAAAAACTTCATATCTGATGAGTTAAGAACTGGCATCACAACCACTCAGCATCATTCCTGTAGGTGTGTGTGCCCTCCCCATCTTCAGCAGCCAGGACACAGTTTGAAGTCTGATTATTCATCAGTCTTGCAGTCATCAAGAAACTCTCAGTTATATAGTTGTATAAACAAGTTACATATTTTAATTTCTAATGTTAGGAAGACACGAAGATGTGCACAGGATATAAGTGACTCCTCTAAGTGTGAAAGTGCATGAGGCGGGAGAACTGACGAGAGACCGAGTTTCTTTCAGGCAGACTGTGATGAGAGCGAGGTTCTGCAAAGGACCTGCTACATGATGATGATGTTATTTCAGTTTTAACATATCCAAGTGAAAGTTGAAGAACCACTGAAGACATGGAATGAAAGTTAAATGCATTCAAAAGCAAATAAATAAATTGAAGGACCCCTTTTCCACGTCTTCAGTGTATTGGGTATATAGGGCTAGACCTATATTTTATAAACCCAACCACATGGTGGGTGATGTGGTCAGCGTCATGCCGGTCACCTTTACTTCCCAGGACTACCTGGTACACACTCAGGACTAGGAGCCAAGGTTATTTTGATCTGCAGGCGAGCATCTAGCCGCTAGACCATGACAGCTACCATTCGAAAACAGATGCCTGAGGATAATGAACATTAAATGGGTTGAATTCAAAAGGAGTGAAAAAATAAGAGACATTTCTGGGAAAACACTAGTATCAAAAGTTATTATATGGTGAAGATGCTCTTTATTGGGCTCATCCTGATAAAAAATGAGCAGAGAGCAGCTAAGTTCACGGGCAGTCTTCAATTATTTTATATACAAAGTTTCAGTCGTTCTAAATGGCAGCATCCTTTTGATAATACAAAAGGTATAAATTGACTGCAGTCCTCTCTGCCAGTGTCTTTGTGCTGAACAGACCCCAGAACGTGTCTTGCAAGACTGTCCTCTCTTAGCGGAGCTGCGGAGCAACATATGGCAACACCCAGTAGAACTGACAACTAAGCTTTGGGGAAACAAGAGAGACCTTGAAAAGACATCCTAGTTTATGGCCCACAGTCGATTATGCACATGACCAGAGATCGCTAAAGAAGAAGACTGCAGTCATCATAGAGATACGATTGTTTCCTTTCAAGTCAGACTATATCTGCCTGATGGAAAGGAAAGAACAGATTGCACAGATTTGTAAAATGGATGTTCATGCAAAACTTAAAAGTCTGGGAACAATGTTAAAGTCCAGATATGGATGAACGGATAGGACTTTGTGCTGGAGTTTACACCGTGTATCCATCTTGTTCCTGATTGGTCTAAAAATATAGGTCTAGCCCTATACGCCCAAAGGCGTGGAAAAGAGTCCTTTACTTTTTTTTTTACTTATTTACACTTTGTTAAACATTTTAACTTCATATTTGATGCTCATTTGGCAGTTAAGATATAGTACAGAAGGTTAGATTTTAAACAAATTTACTTTTGGTCTCAGGCTTACAGAAAGCTGGCAAAGGAATATCACCCAGACAAGAACCCAGATGCAGGTGAAAAGGTAAGGTATGCCTTAACTCTTTCAGTCCCTGGCAGTTGTAACTTGAATGGTAGTTCAGGTACTCTAGAGTTGTGTTCTTCAACCTTTTTGCTGTAGAGACATGTGCTTTAACCTTTTTACTGTAGAGATGTGTTCTTTAACCTTTTTTACTGTCGTGATGTGTTCAACCTTTTTACTGTAGTGATTTGTTCTTCAACCTTTATACTGTGCATTGAGCTCACTCATTGTCTAGTGGGTGTTTATGTGTGTGTCGTGAATGTTCTTATCACACACTCTACGTTAACATAAATGGTACAAGCCGACACCGACTTAGCCGTACGAAACATCAGTTTATTGGCATGTTACAACTTACGTCTGAGTCCAGTCATTGTCCTAATAACAGCTCTCGCACACCACTTCACGCAGCCTTCAACAAGCAGGTTCCTCACACATTCACTGACCAGAGTCTGCCCTGATGCATCTCGTTGATCTTCTGGACATTACACAGACTGGCTGATCTTGACTTCACACATCGTCGTCTGATTCTCCTTTCACCACAGCAATCTCACGTTGACATTCACACGCGTCTCCCGTCCTTTCGCTCCAACAAGTCGACACACACTAACTTAATCAGAATCAAGTCTGATTTTATACTACGGGTTAGTTTCACGTGGTGGTCCTTTACTTCCACGTGGCGACCTTTGGTCGCGTCATCGTGTGACACGTGATAACTCGTGGTCATCACCTATCTCAAAACCCTCGTTTAATCCGAGTATCTGGAATATCTCGGTGTTTTGGGTTATTCTTGGGCCTACCCCCAACCTTCCTAATGTGGGTGAAAATATCCCCCATTACATACTGTGTCAACATGTTTTTAAAATTTTATTTTACAATTTAGACTTCTTCAACCATATTTAGTGTACACACATGTTTTTCAACTTTTTTACTTTAGAGATGTGTTCTTCTATTAAAAAAAATTAGGATGTTCTTTAACCATATTTAGTGTAGATACATGTTCTCCAACCTTTTTACTTTAGTTGTTTTTCCTTACTGTAGAGACATGTTCAACCTTGTTACTTTAGAGGTATGTTTTTCAACCTTATAACTTCAGAGATATATCTGAAGTATTTGTTTACTTGAGGACATGTTCTTCAACTTTTTTACTTTAGAGACATGTTTTTCAGCCTTTTCCTTTCATCCCAGAGGCATGCTTTTCAACCTTTTTTTTTTACTGTAGAGACATGTTCAACCTTTCTACTGTAGAGATATAATTTTAAACCTCTTACTTTAGAGATGTCTGACCTTTTTTAGACTAGTGAATAGGAGAACCATTTTTTTTACAGACTTACCGACAGCTAACAAAATCAGAGATGTAACCAAGTATAGATAGCTTTTTTTTAATCGTTTAATATCATAAAGTTAACTGTTTAGCTAATCTGCTGCTGCTTAGAGGTTAGAAAATCTGATATACATAGTTGAAATATTGTTTCTAATAGATAAAGCGCTGCATAAGTTACAGCTGAGGAATTTGAAAAAAGAGAATTATTGAAACCCCCTCTCCATAAATATCATCATGTGCTGTGGCTCCAGGCATCCTTTGCTGTGCATCATTCTAACATTTGTCATAAACAGGACGGCGCGCTCCAACTCTTCATAGGTTCCCTACAGTTCACATTGCAGAGTCCATCTTGTGGACCAGATTTCTTCGCTTTGACTTGAATAGTCTAAGTTTTGAACTCTCTTCCCCTGAGAAAGCTGTTATATTAAGTATTGCAGGAAAGCTGTTTGATTAAATATTGCAGGAAAGCTAATTTATAAAGTATTGCAGAAAAGGTGATTAAACCTGATTGGTAGTAAAATGCACATCTATTGACTAATTAGGAAATTTGTAAGATAACTGTCAAATGTAATGCGTTGAATTCACAGTTTAAAGAGATCAGCTTTGCATATGAAGTGTTGTCTAACCCTGAGAAGAGAGAGGTTTATGACAGACATGGAATTGATGGAATTAAAGAAGGCGGAGGTTCAGGTAACCATGCCATACATATTTTAACTAGCTTAAGGGAATGTAATTAACACATGTGGTTTAAGGGTCGCCAATGCAGTTCACAACTCCAGATACTCAGTCAGATGCAGGTGATTTGGCAACACACCTCTTTGCATTGATTTTGGCAGAGTTATGAATCGCCGTTGATGGTATGGAATGATCCTGCGATCCAGTCATTCTAGGGATTTGACTGGCCATTTCTTTGACACCAGACTCAGCTTCTGAAAATTGTATTCTAAAAATGTTATCACTTACTGTATTTTAAATTCAGCACTGAGTGCTGGTGTTCAATTGCGGGGAAAAACCTTGCTTGAGAGGCAAGAAACCAACAGTCTACATACAAATGAGTCATCTGTAAAATGGATGTGCATGCAACACTCAAGTTTCTGGAACAGGATTAGAAGTGGACAAACAGTCGGAACTTTCCGCTGGAGTTTACAGCCGGTGAATGTGAACAAGAAGAATTCAGCTCCTTAAATGGGAGCTGGGGTAGCTAGACACTTTACTTCTGGTGCACAGGTCTGGGGTTTAATCCGTCTCAGGGCAGATTTGGTAAAATTTGGCCTTGACTTCCTGTTTGATCAGACCTAAATCTCTCAGTATATGGATATGTGGTTAAGCAGTCATGTGCTGGTCATGACAATTCCTTGGGTAAGCACAGTACCAGAGTACCGTGTGTGCCCTAGGGACAACACCTGTGGATTAGGGGAGGACAGAGTCACCACACACATGAGGCTACAAATTTGTCAACTAAACTAACTGGAACCACCAGAAAATAAATGCCAAAAATCATGTGTGTCTACTGAAAGGGGCAGATATTGCAGCTATTTTGTAAACAGGCATAATGTAATTGTCACTCGGGCGAATGATGAAGAAGAAATAGAAGGGTGCCAGGAAATGTCCTGGAGAGTAAAGTTGTATGATATTGACCACATCACACAAAGAGCACTGAATGTTCTAAACAAATATGGATCTAGTAAGTTTTGGCTGATAAGAAGATGCCAACGTGAAAGGGATCCTTTTGATCAAGGACAGAATTCTTACTTTCTTGCCTCTAAAATAATATATTGAGTGCTTCTTGTTGCCCGTGATCCCCATATGGGCTCCGCTTCCCCATTGGGGGGGGGGGGGGAAGAACAGACCCTCCGCCTACCCAACCAGCATGTCATAAGAGTTGACTAATTGGGGGGTTTCATCAAAGTCAGAGTGCATCTGCCTGAAAGGCAGAGAACCAACACTCTACATACAGATAAGCTAGATGTGTAAAACGAATGTGCATGCGACACTCAGGAGCAAGACTAAAGTCCAGAGGGGGACGAACATACCGGAACTTCCCGTCAGAGTTTACAGCTGTTGAACGCAAAGAAGTTACCCTTGTGTTTACCTGTTTTTAAGGCTGCTGACAAATTTGATGTTTTAAATGATATTTTATTATCAGGTGGTGGATTTGGCGGAGCCAGCATGTTTGAAGATCTGTTTGGAGGGTTTTTTGGATTTCCTGGATCCGGATCTGGATCAGGAATGGGCGGCAACAGACGAAGGCGAGGAGAAGACACACTCCACCCATTAAGGTTAGGAATGTTTTAGTTTATATACCTGTGAAGTAAAACTGATGCATCCCTAAAGTTTTGGTCTTAACAAATATTAAGCATATTGCTGAATATTTAGCTACACGCAGTCTCTGTTTAAGAAACTACAGGATAAAAGGTACAAAATATAAACTTAAATAAACCTTTTTGCTCCATAAACCTGTTGGAGATAACATAATACCTGGAATTTGCAAACAAAAATCCTGAAAACATAGATTACTAATAAATATTTTTTCAGAAAGGAATAAAGGGGAGTTAAGAATAACCACAGACAGGACGAAGAATTAAATGCATTATTTCCCTTGCGGGGAAAAGCCCAGCTTGGAGACTCGTGCATGTGACCATTGTCCCTAATATTACTTAAAGCTAAAGGGGATTTATGACATCAGTGCGGCTTAGAAAGCCATTTTGTCCACAATAACCACTCCAGGAAATATAATTTTGTCCAGGACTCCTAAATACTGCACCGGCATAAACAAGACAACATCCGACAGTCCCAAACTGAATGGTTTTTCATGATGTGTGATGGCTAGTATCCATTGGGAGAAGAACAGCAGAAGTAGCAGCAGGAAAAGGCAAATCTATTTTATTAGATTTCTTTAGCATACTTTAACTAAATGTTAAAGCTTTTATAACCCAAATTGAATATTAATATATGAAACGTGACAAAGTTAACATTGTTATGTGACTACTTGTTGTATTCGCCAGAGTATCACTGGAAGACCTTTACAATGGAAAGACAGCCAAGCTACAACTGAGTAAAACAGTTTTGTGTAGAAAATGCAGTGGGTAAGCCTTAGCTTAGTGTTTGTGTAGTTTTTAATTCTCTTCTAGTATAAATTAGATACGCGCTTTCATCCATCTACCTATCCGTCATTTGACTTCCACATGCTCACACACATACAGGCTGATCAAGTTCTGGAATTGAAATGTTCTTTTCAGTAAATTGCAGCATCAGACAATTCAGTCAGTGAGGCAGTTGACAGCTATTGCAAAAAATACCAACCAGAGGTGCTTCCGTCATTGGCAAGAACGCCGGAGTAGGGGCACAATTAAAAGGGGATAGAACCAACTGGCCCATAGGTTACCAGCTTACGCTACAACAACAAATCCAGTTACAAAAACTGCTTTCTACATTTTTTTTTGTAAAAGTAACGTTAGTTTCTCCACGGCCCGCCTATAAACACACTAGCTCACTTCTAGTTGGTAGTTACTGAACCCCATGACCTTCCAACGTGTGACGTAACAGACGTGGATTTAATGTTTTACTATGTTGAGTAGGGATTTTCCTATTATTTTAAACAGTGATGGTATGGTGGTAATGAGAGGCTTCAGCTAGATAACTGAACACCTAAGATTAGAGTGAAGTGATAAGTTTACACCCATAAAAACATAATGGTACGTAACTTCGTTTTCGTAGAACCTCTTGACAGCCGTGAGTACTGTCAAGCTCTTCCACCTTTTCCTCCCAGCTCTCCTGGTTCCACCTCGTTCCCAGCTGGCCGAGTTCTAACACAATGTAGTCTCTTGCGCGTGATGACCATCTATTTCTGTTCTCAAAATGGACTGGTTATCACTCACATGGGCGCTGTAATAATGGAAACAAACACATACGTGTAGTATCTTGACTTACACTAAGAATACATATATCAATTATTACGATATATAATAATAAAAAATATCTCATCACTCCTCATATTCCACTTTCTCTGAAGTCTAGTGTGAAGGTCTTATGTCTTACATTGAAGTCACATATCCTGCCTTCCTTCTCATGTTCTGTCATGATAGTTGACTTTCTAAGTCTGTTGTCCGTCATCACTCAGACTTCCAACTGGCTGACATTGATTTGACACAAACATGTGGCGCAGGTTATATGCTGAAAATGCGAAACATTTTATACGTGCATGCTGTCCTGAATATTATCTTTCAGTGACAGTGAATTCTATACACCCCCTTTTCTTCCCCTGTGGTTATAAACCCCCTGATTACGTGAACACATTAAGTGAGCACATGGTGGGCACACAAAACGTAACAGCGTGGCTGCATATGTGGGGATCATTTCCCACAGTCGAAACTCATGTTTTGGTTGATGGTTGAAACATTATAATTTCATTATAATTCAGTATACAAGTCTTATTTTATAAACATGAAAACATACACTGAAAAACATGTGGCACAAACTTACAAGAAATAGGAATGGTTTAGCAGTTCCCTAACGGAGATACTGAATACTCACAAAGAACTATTTCAAGCAGAATGTGTAGACAAATTAGGAAAAGGTAGAATAGGCTTTAGCTAACTCTCTAACCTATGTATACAAGATTGAAAATAATTGTACAAGCTTACCTACCTGGGAACTTTCCAGCAATCGCCAAACAAGAATCAAACAAAATAACCTCTACCGTTGATCTGTGTTTGTTGCTCGTGGCAGTGATTATGAGGTAAATTTCTGAAGCTAGTAGTATAAGTATCAATCTATTGTCCAAATTAAACTCCTCCCTCTTCTAGGTTCTACTGGAGAAGATCTTAGCCACGCCCCTGAGGTACCTTGCAGATCAAATTAGCTAACAAGGTGCTTGTCAGTCAATTCTGGACTGACATCCCTCGAGCAACATCTGGTCTCCAGCTAATTTAGCTGGCAGGTGTTAAAACTGTCCAGAGGACGCTGTCAGGTCTACCAGTCCACTTAATTTCCCTGATCTGCTCTGTTCAAAAGGCCCCACTCAGTCTGTGTTATGTAACATTTATGACCCTGAGGTTCAGCTCATGGGAGATAATCTCAGGTGTGATAATTAGTTCCCCATTGCTGGCCCTTACAGACTGTGGTCAGGAGATAATTTATGACACTGGCTTTACAATCAAACATTACATCCATTAGTCTGAACTTTCTCAGGTAGGCCGCTGGCTGTATTACCTAGTGTTATGTAAAATTAAACAAAGCGCAGTTGCTTTGTCTCTGCGAAGGACTGGAAACATTTAAATCAATGTGGTTTAAAGTAATATTTGGGTTAAGGGCATAGTAAATATAATTCGGTCTCTCCATAAACAGAATAAATTATTCCACATACTAACTTCTGAAACCACTGAGGTCGTTTCGTGACAAAAAACCATAGTACACTGCTTTCTACATTTTTTCATATGATTTTTTGGTAAAAGTAACGTTAGTTTCCCCACGGCCCGCCCATTTACACACTAGCTCACTTCTAGTTGGTAGTTACTGAACCCCATGACCTTCCAACAAGGTTATGGGTGTGTTCCGCGATACATTTGATATCGCATGCTGTATATTTTAGCAGGCCAGCACTTTTAACGCTCGAAATACATGGACCAACCGGTCCTAACACAACTCTCCCTAGAGAGTGCTGCAACCTATGTCACAGGCATCCTCTTTCTCGGAATGAAAATGTAAATGCAAGACACCACAGAAAGCAAACAACCGAGTAGGACACACCTGTGACCTTCAGGAAAATCAACCAGCCCAGCAGTGAATGAAAAGTGAATCTAACCGATTCTTGTTACTAGTCGGTATTGGCATCCTAGCACATCAAGCCCGAACCATTCATGCTCCATCATCTGATACAGTGGCTATCTCACTGTCTTCATGCGACTCATACTCGCAAAAAAAAAGTAAAGTTCCCTTTTCACGCCTTTCGGCGCATCGGGCATATGGACAGAGCGTCCCATATTTTTACAGACCATCAGCATGCCTGTCATTTAGTTACTACCCATTTCAAACATGCTGTTTATTGTATCTGACTCCTTTAACTCATCTCTGGAATGCAGAGCATTAATTAAGTGTGCCCTTTTCTTACTTCTTCCTCTACTAACCCCTGCAGATACAGCCAGTCAGTCGGCTCTTTCATTTTCTTTCATCCTGGTGTATCCTGGTTTTTTCTTCTTTGCGTTCACCAGCTGTGTGCTCCCAGTGCAAACTTCTGGTTGTTTGTCAATTTCTTTTCCAGAAACTTTAGTGTTGCATGTACATGTTTCGCTGGTTTGAATCATTTGCATGCAGATTGTTGGTTCCTTGCCTCTCACGCAGGTGTACTCCGACTTTGAAAGAAAGCTCCCATTTAGTCGACTCTTACAACATACTTTTGGGCAGGCAGTGGATCTATTCTTGTTTTTTGTCACAGTTGGGCCCCGGATCCCACACGAGATGCCCTGATGTGTACAGCCAAGATTGTAGGTGTAATTAGTTGCCGCACACTGGGGGACATACTGAAGATAGCATCCGAGCGCTTATGGACTTGTCCGATGTGCTGAGGATAATCACTTAACTAAGAGTCAAGATATGTTTTCTGAGGCAGGATGGAAGCTGTTAGCCAATTCTCCAGAGCCTGTCACTGTCAATGCATGAGTTTCTTCCTATTCTGCCAGCCATGCAAGTACTCCTGTGACAGCTGTTATCTCCATCGTTATGCCAGTAGTAGTAGAACTGAATGCCTGACTTTCTTCTCTACTGTCTTGCCATTCACCTAAGCTGCATATGCCTACCCAGACTGTACCCCACAAATCACTGAGCCATCTGTATAGATGATGCTGTCACTTGGTCGAGTGTACGAGGGCCCTTTTTTTCAGTGTCAGTGGCTGTATGTCTGCAATACCTGCCCAGAATAAGTATTACTTCAGTGTGCTCTTGCATTCCTTCTATTGTTTTTAGACATTCAGCACCGAGCCTGATATGTCCCAGTGGACAAATTTGGTCTATAGTCTTTAGCTTTCACCATCCAGGGCCCCCCTTCTTAAGCGCTCTCATTTGATCACCCATAGATGGCTGTGCAGAGGTTTTATATCAGCAGAAACACCTATGAATTCCCTTTCCTCTGACATCTTGTAGTAAATTACTATGTCTGGCTAATCAAGGAAATTACCTGAGCGCCACCAGGCCATTATGAGCCTTTATAATGACATTATCAATATATTAAGACGGACAGATATCTGTCACAATGGAGTCCAGTATATTTATGGGCTGGTGAATTTTCTGTCATCTCAACACATACTGAAAAAAGGCATGGTCATCTTGACAACTGTTGTTCAAACAAGAACCATGTCACTGTAGTTTTACCTGAGTTTACTCTAATCCCTGATCAATACCATCTAGTGTGTCTGTGACACTCCTGCTGCAGTGTTTTTGCTGTATCCTCTCTATCTGTCCACTGCCGGTACATAAGTAGATCTGTCATCAGCAAAGTATGTTGTGCGCTTTAGTCCTATTTTTGTCTGTGTACGCATTTAGTAGAACAGGTTTTCAGTGGTGATCTCTAAGGTAACCATGGCACATATGTCCTGATGCTTCGTCATCCATGCCCCCCCCCCCCCCCCCCCCCCCCCCCCCCCCCCCCCCCCCCCCCCCCAAATCATCTACAGCATTGCCATTTATTCAAAAGAGTGCTGTCGTTCAAGGTTGGATCAGTATTCATGTCTAACAGCAGTGTTATGTGTTGGTCAAAAGAAACACTGTTGAATGCATCGTCCAGATGGATGGCTGCTGTACCTGGAAGCCCTGATATGTGTCATAAGCAAACACTATGGCATTGGTCCAGGTGTCCTACCTGTGTTGATATCCTTTAAGGTTTTGAGTTAACATTTAAGGCCGAAATAACCCATTGACCGCCAAGACATGGGATAGTCTTTCCTCCCTGATCTTTTCAGGTTTATAAACTCCAGTTATGTACCTCTCAGTTATGTCTTGATTCTTGTGTCAGCTTGCATTCATTACTGTTAGATAATTTATACCTACTGCCAGGGTTAGGGAGAGAAGTGTCAATTGAAGCAAAATACTGCAGCTGAAATAGGAGAGGTCAACAGAAGCAGATTTCTGCTCCCTTGTTCACACGCAGACAGACCTTCATGTAAATGTCTCTAATAAAAGTAGTGTTCTAGTCTACTATCTTGTCTGTGTGACTATCTTCAGCTTAGTAAGACTTGTTGGTTGTGTTAAATATCTTCTTTTTCTTTTCTTCTTCTTTGTTCACTGGCTGTATGCTCCAGTGGCAAGTGCTGGTTGTTTGGACTTTGGCTTTGTGCCAGGACCTGAGTTTTGCATGTACATACCCTTTTAACTGGCTTTTTGTGTGCAATTTGTTATTCCTTGCCACTCGGACATATGCACACCGACTTCTAAGAAAACCTCTAATTAATTGATTCTTATGACATGTTTGTGAGGGAGGCAGTGAGTCTGTTCTTGTTTTCCCCACAGTGGAGCCCAGAGCCCACATGCTGAGGTTAAGCGCTGTGTTATACTTTAAAAAACAAAACATTGCCTTATGACCTTTAGAGGTGGATTGAGAGCATAGATATCATCTCTGCCACTTGCCGGAAAGACTAACTTGGGCAACAAGTACTTGAAAAAGTCTAATCTGTCGGCTGAAAGGGGAGAAAATCAGATACATGCTGCAAACGGCAGGCTCAACACAATAGCCTCCTTAGATGAACACAGAAAAAGATCTCTAGCAATGAAAAAATTAAGTCCATAGCTCAGGTCATGGTTCATTTTTTTTCTCACAGTAAGCAGCTCATCTTATTATAGAGAAGTGACTCTGATTTTTTTGTATTTTTCAGCGTGGGTGGGAAAAGTGGTGCAAATCAGCGGTGCAAAAAGTGTAATGGTCGTGGTGTGCAAGTACAGCTGCGGCAGTTAGGACCAGGCATGGTACAGCAGCTTCAAAGTATATGTTCTGAATGCCACGGAGAAGGTATTTGTCTGATATTACTGTCTTCTATTACATTTGTTATTGTAACATTGCTTTACAATAAGTTGTTTGTCCCGAAGGTCCCTGGTAGATCAACCTTCTTAAACCCTAACAGTTATTTCAACCGTCTTAAACACTAACAGTTTCTGTATTGATTCTAAGAAACCCCATTGTGTGGATTCTGGGGGCATTTGGAAGAGGGGTCCTGAAAATCCCTCCTTTCATTCAAAAGATGATAATAATCTGGAAGATTCAACGCTGTGTATATTTAAGAAAAACTAGCACTTTATTCAGGGATAGATTGTGGACAAATATTTTATGTAGAATCTAATCAGATATTTAAAAAAATTATCAGCATGTACTTTCTGAACATAATAAAGATTAGGCGTGTCCTGTGTTCCATGGTATTGTTGTTGGATGGATGATATGCCCCAAGAAATTACAATTTTTTAAAAATAGTAATTTATAAGTCATTTATAAGTAGGAAGTTTATATTTTAGAGATGCAGCTTTTATTTATCAGTCAAATTACAAACATACATACTTTTTTGATGAATTTACTTTGTAGGAGAGGTCATCAGAGAAAAAGATAGATGTGTAGAGTGTAAAGGGAAGAAAGTATGCAGTGAGACCAAGATACTAGAGGTTCATGTTGACAAGGGGATGAAGGATGGCCAAAGGATTCCTTTCAGGGGTGAAGGTGACCAGCAGGTACTTTTTGGTTTCATTTGTTGATTTGTTTTGTTTGATGGTAGTTGTGTTTTTCAACTGGAGAGAAGGGGGGGGGGGGGTGGAGTTTGTTGTTGTTTGATACCTTCTTTTTTTGCGTTCACCGGCTGTAAACTCTGGCGATAAACTGAGTGTCGCGTGCAGAGCCATTTCACAGGTCTAACTAATTAGCCTGCAGACTGTTTGTTCCTTGCCTCTCAGGCAGATGTACTCTTGACTTCATAGGAAGCTCCAAATTAGTCGACTCCTACGACATGCCTTTGGGCAGGCAGTGGGTCTATTCTTGTTCACCTCACAATGTTTTAACCATATTTCTTTTAGTATATACGAAAAAGGAATCGTTTTTTCGACCATGTTTTTGTTCAGTGACATGAACAACAGTAGTCTTTTCAAATATTTTTAGAATGATGTGAAAAACCCATATATCTTAACTCTTTCAGTTAAAAGAAATGCATATGTCGTTTTCTGTTCTAATTAATTCAAAACACTCTGCATAGTGTGAAGAGAGGCTGCTAGGTGGTTACAACACCAGGCTCTCATTCGGGGACCCGGGTTGTACCCCTGGTAAGGAGATTGAGTTTTTCTGTCGGGGGCATATTTAAACATCCTAACTAGTACAGTCAGTGGCAACAGCACTAGCAATACGGCCCTAAATCCTTAGGCTCATGACCTCCTGTCTACACCGCCCTAAAAAAGTGGTAGAACAGACTAGTTACCGTTTTGACTTGACTTATTTGAAGTCAAATCACCCATTTGTTTTGTAATAATATTCCTCCTTGTTATTCTTATACACTTTTCAGTAATGAAAGTGTTAAAGCTTGCCATCATAAATTATTGTAAATACTTCTTCATCCTTTTCTGCCTTTGATTTCCCAGTGGAGCATTGACCTACAACTCACACCCTACTCTTTGTTGATTTGTCCATGATTGATTGGATTCAAAATTTTCTGTGAAGTACAGTAACCGGTCTTCACTCATTTTATCCTGGCTTGGAGCCAGTTACTTGTTTTAGCCCGCCATTTTCTCATACTTCATTACCACTGAAAGATCTAAACAAAAACAATTTCCTCTTTTGTTTGATTTTTCTGTCCTTTGTTCACTGTTGTGTAGCTCAACGCGAAGCCAGTCACTATAACCCACCATTCTCTACTACAGTGTTACCGGTGTCCAATTTTTTAAAGTAATAAGACAAGTATTTGTCCGAACCACAGGTTGAAAGTATTACACAAGACATCTGTAGGCCAACCCTAGAATTTTTTGGCTGTTTCATGACTTTTTTCTTTTTTTTTTGTTATCCTTGTGTGGAACTGGTTATTTATCTTAGATTCATTCATATCCCAGCTCACACTTTTTTATACTTACTACCAGTTGTGAAGAAACTAAAAGAGAACTAAATCCCCATTCTTGAGGGCATGTATATGTTTGATTTCTGTTCATTGACAGTGTAGCTTGATGTAAAGCCTTATTTAAGCCCATGATTTTCTTATACTTTAAGTTGAACTGAAGATGGTTAGGACATGTTTGCAGGATGTCTCATGACACTTTGGAAAAGACAGCTCTCTGATGGTCGCAGATGGCAAAAAAGACATGGGCGATCCAAGGAGACCCAGAGAAGGACATAAGAAAAGGAGTACATAAGAAAAATAGTAAAGAAATGTAAAGTGATATGGGATACACAAACGGCATAAAAGGAACAAATAGACCAGTAGCAAAGGAGGTTACTTGTGAATGCCTTATGTGTCATTACCGACAGGAACAGAATATAGATATAATTCTTTGAAATACTTGGCCACATTAAAAGACGTAACAAACTTTTAAAAACCATACTGCAGGAAAAGGCTGAAGGCAAGAGGTGGGCAGCGATACAGGCGAGGGAAACAAAATCAAGAGAGGGGCGGGCAGCAGTTTGAGAGAGATTACAACCAGGACAAGAGATGCAGCCTGTTTAAGATCCATTACAACCAACCTTCACTGTAGAGACGGCACTTGATTGATTGAGATATAATGGAATGAAATTTGAATTAAGAATCACAGCATCACAGCATTGGAGACACTGCCATAAGCTTTCCCTCCCCATCATTAGCAGCAAGCGATGAATTTCAGTTCTGATGACACCAGTAACTCTCTGATTGTATATCCATCTCGCCCCTCCCTTGAGTATTTAGCATTGGCCAGGTTTCCTAGTAACTTCTCGCAGTGCCATTCCCCTCGTACCATAGTGATCTATTTGTGACTCCGCACTGAACACTTATTCTCAAAGGGCCCTCACAGCACCTAGCTTGTCATATTACAGTTCACTACCAAGTTGTACAGAACCGGCCTTAATGTCTGTCTGAGAGTTTCCCAACACAACGTCGTGACTTGGCGAAAATATCTAATGGACACTGACCCACCCGGGACATCTGAAGATAAATTACCAGTTGTGAGGGGGGGGGGGAAGCTCCCTCAAAACTTCTTTGCGTTCACCAGCTGTAAACACATGTGGAAAATCTATATTACAAATCTGGCTTATTAGTATGCAGACTGTTTGTTCCTCGCCTCTCAGGCAGATACTTTAAAGGAAACAGCCCTAATTAGTCGCCTCCTACAACATGCTTGAAGGGGTGCATTGTGTCTGTATTTTTCTTCCAAAATTGGCCCCCATGGAACCCACATGGGAAGTAATAATACATTGTATGCCTGATTTTATTTTCAATTCTCTCACTTAAAAGCCCGGTGTGGAGCCAGGTGACGTAGTAATCATTCTGCAGCAGAAAGAACATGAACTCTTCACGAGAAAGGACTCTGATTTGATTATGGAGCGCAGTATATCTCTGACAGAGGCTCTCTGTGGCTTTCATTTTGTGATCAAACACTTGGATGGGCGTGATATAGTGATACGTAACCAGCCTGGCGAGATCATATCTCCAGGTAGGAATTATTTTTGTTTTTTTTTTAGTGTTTCACTTTTGGAGGTTGGTACGGAATCAGGCACACAGTCGGACACAGAGAGCATGTTTAATATGAAGATGCAGTGGGCAAGATAAA